TATCTGTTCAACATGCTCTATACCAGGGGTGTTGAACTCATTTGTTACGAGGGCCAGATCTGACATAAATGAGGCCTTGTTGGGCCGGGCCATGTGTATCATAAAATGTAATGCCAGGTAGCGGAGATATAACCTTTATAAATGACACAAACACAAAGGTTTTTTTAAAACTTAAAATAAAAACATGCTTAAAACATTAGCTCTGTAAGCTGCAAACCTACTTTTGATTTATTGACATTCGCGACAGAAATCTCATGCTCAGAGTTCTGAGTCTAGGACCCAGGTTAAAACATGAAATGGCTGAATGATTAAGAGAGTCTGGCAAGGCAAGCTATAATGCAGCAGCAGGACTGGAAGCAGGAGATGGCCAGTTCCACTGCAGGCCTGATGGAAGCCCTCCAAGGGCCTGATCCGGCCCCCGGGCCACACGTTTGACACCCCACCTCTATATGAAGCGCCCAGCATATATGGATAGCTTCTTGTGTACGTTTATACATCTGAGGAAGGAAACTCTAATCCACAAGAGTCTGTGGAACAAAAATATGTTCAGTCTTTATTTCATTTATTAAATCTTTCTTCAGTTATAGCCAGCCTAATCTGATCTTGCCAAAGCTTGGAAGCTAAGCAGGGCCGGCCACGGTCAGTACTGGGACAAGAGGCTGCCAAGGAACACCGAGGCTGCTGCATGGAGGAAGGCAATGGCAAACCACCTCTGCTTGTTCATCTCTTGCCTGGAACACCCCATGGATAGGGTCACCTTGAATTGGCTGTGGCTCGATGGCACCGTCTTCTTAAACCTTGAAGGGGCCGCAAGAATACATAAAGCTGCCTTATACTGAGTCAGACCATCAGTCCGTCAAGGTCTGTATTGTCTACTCACACCAGCAGCGGCTCTCCGGGGTCTCAGGCAGAGGTCTTCCACATCACCTACTGCCTGAACCTTTTAACCGGAGGTGCCGGGGATTGAACCTCGGACCTCCTGCATGCAAAGCAGATGCTCTGCCATTGAACCACACAGCCCCTACTCGGTGTGACTGTGGGTCTCCAGGGACTCAGACGGAGGTCTTCCATATCACCTACTGCCTAGTCCTTTCACGTGGAGATACTGGGGATCGAACCTGGGGCATGCCAAGCTGAGGCTTTTCCACTGACCCACACAGCCCCTACTCCGTCTGACAGTGGCTCTCCAGGGTTTCAGGCAGAGGTCTTTCACATCACCTATGGCTTGGTCCTTTTTAATTGGAGATGCCAAGGATTGAACTGGGGACCTTCTACATGAAAAGCTCTACCACTGAGCTAAAGCCCCTCTCCAGGGTCTCAGGCGGAAGTCTTCTGCATCACCTATTGCCTGGTCCTTTTCAACTGGAGATGCCGGGGACAGAACCGGGGACCTTCTGCATGCCAAGCAGAGGCTCTTCCACTAAGCCATGGCCCCTCCCCAGTCTTTACCTTTGACAGATGGAACACTCTGTCTGGGGCAGTGCTTCAAGAGGGCATTGGATAAACCTATAAGGCAGAGGTCCATCAGTGGCTATTAGCCACAAGGTACAAATAGGAACTCTTGGCCTGGGGTAAGTGAGGCTCTGTATTCTTGGTGCTGGGGGGGGGGGGCAACTGTGGGAGGGCTTCTAGTGTCCTGGCCCTGCTGGTGGACCTCCTGATGGCACCTGGTATTTTTGGCCACTGTGTGACAGAATGTTGGACTAGATGGGCCAGTGGCCTGATCCAACACTGGCTTCTCTTATGTTCTTATGTTTTTTAATCCTGTTTTGTTTTTCTAATTAACCCCAAAGAAGAGAACAACCTCCACGTCGCATCTGGATATACAAAAATTAATTTTTAGCATCCTAGGAAGCCATCCTTTCATTATCTTTTTCAAAGCAAAAATACGGTGAAAAGGAAGGCCAGCTAGAGCAGTGCGGGGAAGGGGAGAAGAGGACACAAGAACTTGTGCCCTCATCTCCTTGCCATGCCTTTTTTGGCCACTGTACCCTCTGAGCAAAGAACAGCTGGGTCCTGTGGCAGAGGCGGCATGGGGGAAGGAGTCCTGCTCTTGCAGAGACGGGCAACCGCTGGCTGCTGAAGGTAAACTTGGCAACCTATTTGGGGGTGGGAGTTCGTTTTTCTAACTCGGCAACCACAGCTCAGAGAAGGAACAACCGCCATCCCCCGGCTCTTGCTGCTTCTCAGTTTCGCTAATTGCCTGTCTTGCTGCTTATGTAGTTTGTGGGCTACCCCGCGGCCTTTACACAGTAGAACCTGGCACAGCAAGCAGCTTTTAAATTAAAAAAAAAAATACCAAGAGGACAAACTGACCATCACTTCGCTGCCCTGCCTGCGAGGTTAATTGGCTTCTGAAAATTACCTGAGTGGAGAGGCCAAGTTGGAGGAAGGAGACGAGAGACCGAGAGTCAGTGGGGGACAAGAAGCAATTCACAGCAAAGATCAAGTCAAGAGGGACGTGGATTTGAGGGCTCGGCTGCAGTGTTCCCTCTAAGCTGAGTTAGCGTGAGCTCACAAAGTAGAATTTCTGCTCACAAGACTCCACAGTTTAGAGGAAGCATTGCTCAGCTGGCAAATTCTTCCGGGGGATTGGAGGGGAAGGGGGAGCTTAGCCCAAAACTGCTCAAGAGCCTTGAGAACTCTGCACCAAACTAATCTGAATTCTGTGATGGAGGCAAGATGGATTACGCAATCTGCATATGTTAGGCAAATTAATGCGTCAGTTTCCTCCATTTTACACCCCCCACCCCTTTCTCTGAGATCTTTACAACTGGGCAGAGCTTCTTCAGGTTCTGCTCCTGGTGCAGAGGGGCCTGGAGCTGCACGGCCACACCGAACCCCCATTCTCCAACGGCCAGAAATATTACCCCGCAACCTCTCTGGCTTGTGAGAAATCATGAGGAGGCGCCTGTGCACTTTTGTGACCGTCACGGCCACTGTAAAGGCTGGATGCTTGCGTACCCTGCTTAAAATGGAATGTTCCGGTTCTTAGGATGTTGAATTCTGCAGGTGTCATAGAATCACAGAATCATAGAGTTGGAAGGGACCTCCAAGGTCATCTAAGTCCAGCCTCCTGCACAATGCAGGAAATTCACAAACACCTCCCCCCCCACAACCCCAGTGAACCCTGCTCTATGCCCAAAAGATGGCAAAAAACCTCCAGGATCCCTGGCCAAACTGGCCTGGAGAAAAACTGCTGCCTGATCCCAAAGTGGTGATTGGCATTTCTCTGGGCGTGTGAAGAATAAGAAGAGGAGGAAAAAGAAGGAGGAGGAGGAGATTGGATTTATACCCCGCCCTTCACTACCCAAAGGAGTCTCAGAGCGGCTGACAATCACCTTTCCCTTCACCTCCCCACAACAGACACCCTGTGAGGTAAAAGAAGAAGAAGAAGAGAGAGATTGGATTTATACCCCGCCCTTCACTACCCAAAGGAGTCTCAGAGCGGCTTACAAACTCCTTTCCCTTCCCCTCCCCACAACAGACACCCTGTGAGGTAAAAGAAGAAGAAGAAGAGAGAGATTGGATTTATACCCCGCCCT